AGATAACCAGCTGCTGTTTATCAGAAGAAATTACTAAAGTACATTTTTAAACATGTGAACAGTTTTGCCTGACTGGTTCTAAAGGTTCTAAACAAGGAAGTTAAGATAATCATCCTGCCCATAAGTTTCTGCTTGTGCTAATTCTGAACTAAAAATTACCAAACATAGAAAGTGTGCTTGTGAGAGATAGTATTTTTTTAAAAAAAAAATCCTGTCCCAAAATGACCATTTGCCCTGTTGGTAGGCCGTTGGATAATGATTAGAATTCACCCTGATTGAACTCAATAATGGCCTGTGGGTAAGTGAATGACAGAACAGCCTAATCCTTTATAATCCTTACTAGTTTAACTCAGGTCAGCTGTAATACAGAATTTTTAAACATGAAATATTTGGGGAAAAATTTCTACTCCTATATAATAATTTTTTTGACATGGCATACATATATATTAAGGCCATCTGCCCTAGTTTTTGAGAAACTATAGGTGAACTGTGTTGTACAGAAATATCTTGGCTTGTATTTTTGTAGATTTCTGTCTCTTTTGTTACTCCATGATTGAAGAACACCAGGTAGCAAGTCAAGTTCTATTAGTAGTAGCCAATTGAGGGAAAATTATGTTTTTGAAAGCACTGAAATGCTCTAAATCTTGTAACTGTATAGGGCCAACTGAGAATTAGACTTGTCACATGTCAAAAATATAATTGCTTTCTTTGCATGCAGATGTTTCTATGAAATTAGCTCATATTAAGATTAAAGATCACAGAACATGTTTCGTATGTGCATATTATGATCTTTAATAAATTTTATTAGTTTCTAAAATGTCTTCTCAGCTGATATGCAGGAGAAATTCAGTTTATCACAGCAAGATCATATTTTATCAATGTGCAATCTTAAAGTCCATGGGAAATTTGCTATGGGGGCAAATTACTGTATCTTCATAATTTTCATACTGTTTGTTGTTATTACATTGCTTAACCTGGCAAAGACACTATACCCCAAAAACTATACCCCCAAAATTGACTCAATAAAAAAAACCAATTCTGCCTTTTTGTTATAAGACACAAGCTCTCTTTTAGTCAGGGACTAGTTTATGGATGAAGTCTACTGCGGCTATTTTTTTATTTCAGTGCTGAAAGGTGGCCCAGTTGAAGGAATTTACAAATTAAAGCAGTTCCATATTCATTGGGGATCCTGTGAAGGCCAGGGTTCTGAACATACTGTTGATGGGGTGAAATATGATGCCGAGGTAAGACCTTCATTAATTTCCAATTTTTGTGTGTGTGTATATGTGTATTCACTATTGAAAAATATGCTGAAATATATTAGAATTGAATATTAAATATATAAGAATTGGCTAAATTAATACATGATGGCAGATGAAATTACTTTCTAATCAATAGTTGTTTAGCAATCCATCCATTAACATGGAAATTTTTGCTGTTGCCCTTCTCTGTCTAGTAATACTATTAGCCCAAAGTCTCTATGTTGCCCCACTTGCACTACCAAATTTGAGCCATTTTCCTGCCAAATATTGGTAGCACAATTTTGGACCATTTGGGAGATTTTGAACCATTTTTAAAAGCACTGAAAAATCAGCTCCTCAAATATGTTGTGCCTTTTCTTCGGATACCACCTCCATTCCACTAGTGTCACTGGCAGCTTTTTAGGTGATGGAACAATTGTCACTTCTCATCCTCCTAAAGTTGCCTATATTTGCTCTAGCTAACATAGTTGTTCTATATTCATACTTACAGTCTAAGATGTACTTATTCTACAAGCCTGCCAGTCACTACTCAGAAAATGACATAGAGCTATCACTTTGATGATAAATGCAATGGATACATTACCACTTCTAAGAGGAAGTGCTCTGATTTAGACTCTTTAGGTCAGCTTCTCCAGTCTGGCACTCCTAGATAGGTTGAGATCCCAATGCAGAGTAACAGCTAGAAGGTTATTCTAGTAGAAGCTAGAAGGGCAACAAGTGGGAAAATCTACTGTATGACACTGAGTGCAGTAACCATCAGTTTGAATTGGGTCCAGAAGGAAATTAGAAACCAATGGACATGGTAGAAAACCAGTGAAGAGCAAAAGCACTGCAGAGATCATTCTTGCTACTGCATTTTGCACCATTTTTTCATAGCTGTTGGCATTTTATTTTTTTAATCTATCTGATTTTTTTCAAATTTATATAAAATATAGCTATTGCTTTCACAGAAATTTCTGAAGATATTAGTAATCTGTTCACATATTAGTAATGGTCTGAATGGCATGAGAAGACAGTGTGAGAAATATAGTTGTATTTGAATTTTTTATTTCATGGGAAAAGGAACTAATAAGCCAGTTCTTTCTTTTAATGTCTCAGAAATCAAGAGACTCAGGCTAAAGGTTAATATATAATTTATTGAGTCCCTCTGTTCAAAGGAAGCCTGCTAATGGGGTGTTTTCTGTCTTCTGCATTTTTTTTTATTCCAGCTCCACTTGGTTCATTGGAATACAAAATATGGAGCTTTTGAGGAAGCTGTAAAACATCCTGATGGCCTGGCAGTTGTAGGAGTGTTTTTGAAGGTTAGTATCTTTATATTTCCTTCTGTAATCTTTGTATTTTCAGAATATTTATTGAACAAGGTGACTTTGTGCTTTGCTCAGAAGTGAATTAACTGCCTACAGTCATTCCAGATGTTTCTATGATAACATTGTTCCCTTTATATTAATTTCTAGTGAAAACTGAAGAGGTCAGTTAATTTTTTTAAAAAAGAATCTTAAGTTTGGAAAGGGTCTGAAAGTCAGGTGGGCAAATCTTCTGGTCTGCTATAGGATTATTATCAGAAATTGACTTAATTTATATCCAACATGATTTCAAACAAGCTACATGGTTTGCAGAGAAAATAAGCCTTTATGATACAAGTGAGTGAACAAACACATTGCAGAAAAACAGATAAACTTACCAATAAAGCTTCTTAACCATGTTTAATAGAATCTTGCAAGATTCTTGCATCAAATATGAGGTACAAATACAAAATTCATATGCACATGTACCTATTATATCAATTGTATGGATTTGGTGCATCTAGTAGATTTTTTTAATTTTCCTTTTAAATATATCAGAAGAGTTGAGCTTAAATGGTTTATCTGTGTAAAATAATAAGCAACAAAAATTACACATATTTGAACTGTGGTTATGCATATTTTTTATACTTCATTGTTTATATATTCTATGTCTACATTTTCATGTCACTCTATGCAGTTACATTCCATTGCAATTGGCAAATTTGCTTTTCCAAATGTATTTCAAAAAATGGTAATAGATGATAAACTGAGTCAATATTGTTTTAGAACCTGAGTATTGATTTTAATTTTGAATTAAGATTAATTTCTTGAAAAGAGATCAATGGGCTGAATTTAAAAGGCTTCTTCACATGCACATGGGCACAAGGCATAATTCAAGTTTCTTTTTATCCTTTCATTTCACAGGTAGGAAGTCCCTGTCTTGGACTACAGAAAGTTGTTGATGTACTAGATTCCATTAAACACAAAGTAAGTGCTTCTTTTTCTTGGTAACCAGGAATATCTGAGCTGTGAATTTCATTATTCATAGAAAAAACATTACTGAAGGGGGGTTGAAATGAAATTGCTTTTAATCTGTATTTTAAATGGCAATGATTGTTTAACTATATCTTGTTGTTTAAAAATGTTATATTTAAACATAGCAGAAATGTTTACTTTTCATTTCTAGCTACATATATTAAAAGTTTTTGTTCACTTCGTATCCCTCAGGGAGGAGGTAAAATAGCATATACTCTTCTTTATCACTATAGTTGCATTAAACCATATTTTCAAAAAAAATATCTTAGTATACATTTCATAATGCACTTCAATTCCCAGAATTTCTGACTGGGGAATTGTGGGAACTGAGTTGAAATCCATACATTTTAAAGTTGCCAAGGTTGAGAAACACTATGCTAGCTTGTTTTATCAAACTTCTCTCTTCTAGGAGAAAGAGGCTAACTTTACCAACTTTGATCCCACTGGTCTTCTGCCTGCCTCTCTTGACTATTGGACTTACCTAGGATCACTGACCACGCCTCCTTTGCTTGAATGTGTCACCTGGATTGTTCTGAAGGAGCCTGTATCTGTGAGCAAAGAGCAGGTAAATTCATTTGCTTCACACATTGTACTCCTCACTTTTTGCCACTAGGAGTTACTAATCTCCCCTCTAATATCTAATTAGAGAGCTTGGGCAAATGGCTTTTCCGATTGAATTTCACAGTACTAGGCTTAGCAACATGAAACTGCTTTTGCTCCTACCCCACATGGATATGGATACACACACACACACACACAGAGTAGGGCTACGTAGGCTTTCAGTATTGTGTATTTATGTTAGCAGTGTCTTTAGGTGTAGTTGGCTCAGTGTGATTTTGCATGATGGCATGGATATTAAGCATTTTTAATTGCTGAAATGTGTCAACGTGACAAAAAATTGAGATTGGGATTTAGACAGTCACATTGTTGAGAAACTCACCTCCTATTTGGAAGATTCAGTCCTAAGTAATGGCAGATACTTCTCTCAAGGTAAAAAGAAAAAATAACAGCTTGAACTCCATAGGAGTCAGGAAGGGCATCCAGCCAGTAAACATTCAGCTCCACCCAGTCACCCCGACTCTACCCCAAATTAAGGAACTACAAGGTCGTAAAAATATTTCACAAGACTTCTGATTTTTTGCTCTCAGTCCTTACAGTCATTGAGAGGGGATGCTGAGGGCCCTTTATTCCCAATGGAGTGAAGGGGATCAGGTCCCAGAGTTGATCCTTATAACTGATAAATCTTGCATTATGAGTCAGCCCACTTCTTGAAATGTATGAACTTTCCAAATTTTTACACCCTTGCAAGGCCGTTAATTGTTTTTGATTCCACAGAGTATTTCAATGCTAAAAGTGGATTGGAATACCTTTTTCAGATTCTACCTTCAGTTTGAGACTGTAGTTTTTCCTTGATACAGGATTGATGGATGGATGGATACTTTTTTGTATGATTTTTTTTCTGTTTGTTGTGATTCAGTTTCTGAAGTGAGTAATGTACAAAGGTCTGCATAAATAAATAAAGTTAAAGTCTTACCAAGATTGTATTGAGGGTGAAGAACATATTTAGAAGTGCTACAGGAGCATTTCTGGTATCTGAACTATGGGATGAGAAGAAAATTTTGTAGTCCCATAATGTTGTAGGTGTTTGATCTGAGATTAGAGATACACTAAATATGTTTTCAGTCATCTGACCAAATTGCATGAATGCTCTCTCGCTCTCTCTCGCTCTCTCTCTCTCTCTCTCTCTCTCTCTCTCTCTCTCTCTCTCTCTCTCTCTCTCTCT